TCCCTCACATTTTTTGGGTAAAATTCAGCACCAGTATGATGTCTAGTATTGTGAACTTGCGAAGACGTACCACGTTCAGTGTGCCTCTCATTTCAGTTTGGTAATCTTTTTCATCATTTTCTTTTCTTTATTCCTCTCTACCTGGGAGTTGACAAAACATGTTAGTTCAAGTGATGTTCTTTCATATACTCATATTTTATGCACATTTCACGTATGGCACACAAAAAAAGAAGAAGGATGTCGGTTTCCTCACTTTACATTTTTACGCTCCAGGCAAAATCTCTGATAGCTTTTTATAACCTTTCATTCACTTCTAAGACCAAAACGGTGACATTTCATCTGCTTTTCAGACATGTATAGTGTTTAAAATGAATGTTTCCATGTATTTGGCCTGTTCTAGTTCATGAACCAATCCCTACCAGACATTTTATCTCCTGGGCCTCAGCCCTAAAATAGAGCCTGCTAATGATGGCTATGTTTGAGGGCCTGCAGGCAGCTCATGGGGCGACTTCAAGCAGTCACTTAGTTTACAGAGCATGTGTGTGTGTTCAAGACTGTGTCTATCTAGGTGTGCAGGTGTTCCTGTGTATGTATGGTACACCTATTTTTGATCCTGTCATGCCTTTCCAATACCACCCACAAGCCTCCCCAAAGGGTGCTGGGTTAAACACACAGTGAGCAACAGACTGGAAAGCACTGAGCACACAGTTTCACTGAAGACTCTCTGCAAAAGGAGCAAACAGTTTACTTCTTTTCCTCAAATCTCAAATCCCTTTATCTTTTTCCTGTGTATATGTGTACACACACACATATATGTGTGTGTGTGTGATGTGTAACCGCCACTGTATAAAAGTAACTAACAGCCAACTACCAGCCCTCCCACCTGTGTACTCGTTGTTGTTGGCAACATCAGCCGAAAAACGATTGAAAGGGAGTTTGAAACCCAACAGAGATGCAGTTAAGGCATGTTTCCGTCTCACTCCGTCAGCTCTTCTTGTTTTTAACCTGGTCTGTATCCAGCTCAAATTGATTCTGCAGATGCAGACCCCCACAAATGCTCGGTTGTCTGACAGAGGGGAACAAAAGCAAAGAATAGCAAGAAACTTCTTCATGTACACAGGAGTGTTAGAGAATCCTCTTGTTAACCAAACACAGCATGTTTGCTCAATGAACCTCTGAGATTAGACCACCTTGGCACACAGTTTTTCCTATCTCACTTCTCTCATCCCTATTTATTTGTTTGCACTATAATGATATTTGTAAACTCTGAATCAGCATAAATTTCTGCTGATATTGACACACGACACGTGCCAGACCAGACTGAATCATTAATCTAGCTTGTGTGTAAGCATAAACCTCACACTTATAAACTGTGTGTCCTCAGGGCATGAACCCAAAAGTAAACTCAAGTAGAGAGCAGTTGAGGGACTCTTTTCTCTGTGCTCAGCTGGCTTGCAATCTTCAGCAGACAGCCAGCGAGCTCTGGCAAGGCAACTCGGCGGCTAATGAAAGACAGAGGGATTGTCAAAGCAGACCCAAAGCAAACTAACACAAATGCAGAGGTTAAATCTTCTCTGATGACTGATTGTAATATTATAAGGTCCAAAATGTCAGTGGTCAGTACAAGCAAGAGTCATGATGAAAACAGGTGAAGAATAGGTGATACAGCCTGGAAAAACAGGAGAGTTATAGTGGGCAGAACAATGTGCACTGATACACGGGCGGGTACGAGAGGGGAACAAAGCCCTCTCTGGGGATGACTCCTGGCGTCCCCAGGAGGGAGTAAATGAGGCAACGGTGGTGCACAAAAACGGGCTTTACAGCCAAAATACCCCCCTATCCTATACATGGGATACACTTGTGAGATGTAAATGGTAAATGGACTGCATACGGCCGTTTCAGGTCTGCCGACATCTCAAATGCACTTAAAACTCTGCACATTGTCAGCATGGACCCCAAGCTGCCAATTAGGAAATTTACTAACACATTCTCCAACTAATGTGGCCGCCCCTGGGAACAATCAGGGAGTCAGTGTCTTGCTAAAGGACACTTTAACGTGAAGATTGCAGGAAAACAAGAAGACTTCCTGATCCCCCTCTGAGCCATAGATGCCCTTCACTGTGGAGGATGGGATGGCAAATATAGAGCAAAAAAAAAAACAAAGCTACAAAAAGCTGAAGTGACAATCTTAGCCAAGGGGAACAAGTCCAAAATCTGCAGAAAGTTAGCGTATAATGTCACTGAATGGGCTGACCTGCACAGTCAGCCCATTGTGCTGCATTCAGAGGTGAAGGGTCAGAGGTCCAGACACGTAAAGGATAGAGACACTTGTTATGGATTGCTTTTTCTCCACCACAGCTATAAACCCACTAATTTCCTGCTGGGTGACATTTTAGTTGAACCCTAAGCGAGATGTCATGTTTCTGTCTGTAGCATCACTGACATCTTACTCCTCCTCAATAGGCCTTGTCACCAGCTCTGCACAGCCATGTTTAACTTCCAGAAAATTCTCAATGCGATTGTTCTCCAGGCACTGCTTACGTTTTATTGTGATTTTGTTCTTGTCATTTTTTACACAATAAACTCAGAGTGAGAGAATTTTTCTGTAAAGTAAATACTTCCTGATCTGCCATCTCACTCAAGCACGAGGTGATTTAGGCAGCCATGTATGCTGATATGCAGCCACCTGCCATGAAGCTGGAGGGAACTAGGAATGGTACAAGTCCATCATGGCTTGTCTTTTTATCTGGGATGATGGTCGTCAATTTTTTATTGATACTGATACCATTATTGAGACTCCTTGATCATCTGAGTCCTGGATACAGCTCTTTTCTATATTGTTTTATTTCACACATTTGTATTTATACAGATTGTATTTTTGCCTAAAACTCCCTTTTTTTTTTTCTTTTTTTTTTGGACAAGACATTTGAACGCATCATTGTAATGATTCTCATCATTCCCATTTCACCAGAATATAATGCATAATATAATATAAACTCTCCTTCTTGTGATGTTGACATGTAGTTACTGTAAGACTGGTTTGTGCTCAAGTCCTCTATTTTCGGTACAGCTCTTTCTTAAAAAGTTATTAGGGGATTCATGTTTTCTATGGTTGACACTTGATACAGCCTATGGGCATACAAAGATTGTGTAGCTCACCTGGGGGATACGCTGTTTGAGCCTGAGCGTCATCACAGTGACTCTCCTGCCAAATGTGTACAATGCTACTGCGCAATGCTGGTTTCAGCAAGTGGAGAAAAAACCCGGAAATAACAAGAGCTTTTTGGCTTCAAATCTGTATACTGCCAGAAGGCGGCGCCAAGTTGTCCATAGTATATACAGTCTATGCTTTTATCCTGCTGATGTCAACATGGATTTTAAAACTGATTTTGACACTGGATCCTGATTTTTTTTAAAAACAGGACTTGCACTAAAGTCTGGCTGTTCTTACTCTGGCTGCCTGGGATGAAGCGGAGGGTGGCAGCCCAGCAGCAGACAGTAAAGGTTCTGCAGGTACTTTAGCTTGACTTGGTGCACAGTGCTGATGTACTTGGTCATGGAGGTTGTGTTCCCCCTTGCAAGGAATTATTTTTTGATATGAACTTCATTTTGCTTTGTCCCCATCTTTGGCTCTGGTATAAAATGGCCACATATGGGACCTTTTTGCATGTTCAGCCATCGTCACTAGTATCTGACCGATAAAGTGAATCTTTGAGTAGTTTTATACCTGTTCACTGTTCAAAAACTTTATTCAACAGTCAGTGTATAACTTTACTCCACAGGACCCATGAGACTTGGGGTTTTGAAAATGCTTCATCGGGTGTTTAATGGACCTGCTTATCGATCCCCATGGATAACTTAGGATTGCAGAACAAAGGCCCTACATTGCTTGATATAGCAAGAATGAAAAATTCAAGTATACTAATGGATTACTTTGCAATGCAACCTCCCTCAGACTGGATCCAAGACAGGACAAGGTTCCAGGAGCTTGTAGGTCGCTCTGCAATACCCTGCCCAAACAGTAGCTGGCAGTGTCATCCCTGTGCAAGTCATGTTACCGGTTTCATGCCCTACTTTTTGTGCAAACCACAGGAACTGAATCCTGGAGCATTGTGTTGGAGTTAGCGATGATAAATAATGCTCAGCAGTTGATCATAGAACAATCAGTGCAAAGAAACTTGTTAGGGTAGACTTCTGTGTAGGTACAGGGCTATGCAAAGCTACAGTGTATGTATCAGGCCTTGTACATGAGTGTGCTGATACACTGAGCTGCTGCCAACTGAAGGTGGACGGATGATCGAGGTGAAAATGTTTTAAAAAGGGCAAAACTATCTGAGGCAAAGCAAGCTGGATGATTCAATTTGATATAGGCACTAAAATCAATAAAATGTGGTGGAGTCGTTTTTTCCCCAACACTCCCTGAAGTCTTACCTCCTGCTTTTATCAGCATGGTTATACCCTGTTTACTCATATGAGCATCAAAGGTCAAACACAATGTCAGCTTGTCTTCTCTGCCAAGCTTCAGATTCTCTTTCTTTTGTTTTTCTTTGGCATCCATGTCGAATCATGAATTAATCATGCTCAGGATCCAATCTTGTATTTAAATGAGAACATAATATTTTAGTGGATCTTATTTGGAGGTCTATTTTGGGGAATGTTTTCTCTCTAGCTTGCAGTTCATCCCTGGCCTTGCCCTCTCCATTTCCACACCTTTCTCCCACTTCTCCCTTCTCCTGCTCCCCTCTGACTCACCTGTCTGCTCAACCATAATTCCTGTCAGCATAGCCACAGTAACTGCATGGATCAGGGGGACAGCAGCTGTCACATGTAATTGAAAAGAGAGTTACACCCGGTGTGTGTGTGTGTGTGTGTGTGTGTGTGTGTGTATGTGTGTGTGTGTGTGTGTGTGTGTGTGTGTGTGTGTGTGTGTGTGTGTGTGTGTATGTGAGTCTGTGAAAGCACCACCAAGCAAATCTTCTCTGATTTTAACGCCACTTTCCCCCTCCTCCATTCTCCTTTTCCACTCCACCCAGCAGCCCTAACCTTTCTTCTCCTATCTCTCTTTCCTCCAGCAGTCACAGAGTATCATCGTTCCTCTCTCACCTGATACCCTCCTCTGTTTGTATCCTTGATGTTTCGAGTCTAACCCAACACAATCCTTTTTACCCTTAAATTTTTAACCATGACTCCACCTTATTTCTTGTTTTGTTTTTTTCTATCTCTTATGTAACTCCATCCTTGTTTCCTCGGTATATCTCTATTTTCTCACAACCTCTTCGCTGCTCTGGTGTACTGTCCTCACGCTAACTCCTCTCTTACCAGCATCCTTTCTTATTTTACAGTTACTCCTCCTTTCCCCTGCCATCCGTCTTGCCTTGCCATGTTTCCTAGCTGCTGTGATTTGATAATCCCCCCAGTCATGGACTCCCAGTCTGTATGTCATCTGGCATGACAGATAGTACCTTTAGCCTTGGGCTGGGGGCCCTTTGACAGATGGACCAGGCTCACCAGTGAAACCGCCCTACAAAGACAAAATGCAGTAACTACAGAGTTGAGTAATGACCTGAATTTGTCTGTTTTATTTAAGAACAAAAATAATACATATATTTCTTATATTTTGATTATATGGCTGAAAAATGAAATGAATACATCATCAAAAAGCCTTGTATATGTTTGCAAGAGAGCTAGGGGAGACCGGGGCTTGTTGTCACATGGGTAAGCTGTCACATTGCAATTGTCTTTGCCACCAAAGGGCACAACTAAAAAGTGGAATCCTGGTTTTCTTCCTTTACATGGACAGAAGTCATGTCCTGTCTGAGAAGAGAAGAGCACATTGTGAGCTGAGATGAGAGCCAATTAACTATTTAGCACAACCCAAAGTAAAAAAAAATCTCTTTATATATTTTAAAATAAGCTTCTTCCAGATAAAAATCCCAGCAGTGATACAGGTGAACTTGTTAGAGAAGAGATTAAGGCATCCTGTCATACCTCAGTCATTGTTCTGTTTTAAGCTAACTTTAAGATAGAGCTTTAGTTAGCAAACACGGTAGTTTGGGGCAACATGTCTCAGTCATTTTCGGGTTAGTTGTCACATGTTTAAAAGGGATTAAAATTAAAGGAGAGTAGAAAGCGAGAAGACTTGGTCAGGAATTACAAAAGAAAAACAGAACGTTGCAGTGCAGTTCCTGACGTGATGCAAAATCCACTGTGACATCTTACCCCATAAAGTGAGACAACTTACCTAATGGTGGGGCAACATGTCACATGTTCACACTCTCTATTTGATTGTTTATAACTCTGCACTGACTCAAAATATGAAAATGACATGAATATGAAACATATACCTGAGACTTTCGTCCTTCATCTGGTACACATTTTGTTTATATATGATGTATTAATTACAAGAAATATGTAAGAGTGTAAAAAGTGTGACAACAAGCCCCTGTCTCCCCTAGCTTTTAGTCTTTGTCGGGGGAAACAGACGATCCTTGCTGTTGAAATCCACACACATACATAAAGAGAAAATACAGTGTTGTTGTGTATCACCTTTGCTGTGTTCCCCACACCCTCGCCCTGCTCCCAAAGTGCCAATTTGGGTGATTTAATTGGTGTCCTGATCAAGGTGAAAGGCTCTCTGGGAAACAATTTAAAGGCCCATCAGAGGTGAGTGAAGCAAGGGTGGAGAGGGGAAGCAGCCAGAGTTTTCATAATGAAGATTACCTCTGCATCCATTTGGGTCTGAGAGAAACAAAACCAAAAAAAAACAAAAAACATGGAGGGTAGGATTGTAGGGGAGATGGTAAATTGGCAGGAAAGGAAGAAATGAGAGTTGTGCAAAGTTAAATAAAAAAATAAAAGTGTGTGACAAACAGTCAATAAGAAGGACCGAGAGGCAGCTGAGAAAAAAAGAGCATCAGATTTGTATTATCCTTTCAGACCCTCCTTTTCTTATCTTCTTCTTTTTTGTGGCAGCCAAATAAAATCGGGCTCTAGCCCTATCTGACAGAGAAGAGAATAGATGAGGGACGGAGCTCATCGCAGACAGGATTACATGCCAAAACTGAGGGATTTGTTCACAAAAACAACTTGTCAATCACTTTAAAGTCAAGATATTGACTTGCACAGAGGCTGTAAGAGCACACTCACCTCATTTCTAGACTTAGAGAGACACAAGCCTCTCAGCATCTATCAGTAAATATAACACAACTTGAGCTTTTCAAACGCGTGTCCTCTGTTAGACCTGAGACAAAAATACTTCTTGCTTTTTTTTTTCCAGACTTTTCAAGCCGGATATTTGGAGAGGTTCAGCCTTCATCGCAGTGCGTAAAAAAACAGAGGTTGGACTTGACTGGAGATGTGGCATGGATGTCCTATGTAATTTCATCATTGCAGTTAAATGGCTCAATGTGAGGAAGCTGAACGACAGCTGTCACTCAAAGAGACACCTGCAAACACATCACCAAGCGCTGAAGACTCAAGCAAACTTACATCCAACTGAAATTTTAATTTTCCGCTTTTTGTTCATGGAATAAATTACTCTTGTTCTGGTTTTAATGGCCAAAAATTACTCTTTGTGCAAACATGTGGCAGAAGTGTCAAAGTTTCAACCGTCGGTACCTTCAGTGGACCAAAGTTAGTACTTGAGGGAGGCGGCGGGAGGCCATCACGCTGAACAACGTGCAGTTTCATTAAAGGTATTTTTCCTTTTATCAGCATGCGTTGGTTACATTTTTACTCATGCAGATTGAGTGCTTTAGGGTTGTGTCGTCTGGGCGGGCTTTTTTGTGCACATTTTTTGACACAAGGTAAGCAGTTTAAACTTGCTTTAGAGGACAACCCAGTCACACGGAAGATGTTAGAGTGAGATGATAAAAAATATGAGCTGATTCTTGCTCAACCTAGTTAATGCCACTGTTTCCACATGGAGCACTCCTGCATGTCTCAACCATAAACTGTAAATAGACTGGACATCTTCTGTTCCTCAACAACAGCACCCCCTGGTGATGGGCTGCAATACACGTCATAAACCCCTCTTTCTCCAGCCAAACGAAAGGCACTGTGGACAAACTTTGAAAATTAATTACACGGGGTTATACATTTTTTCCCCCCTGGTTGAGATGTTGACATGTAGTTACTGTAAGACTGGTTTGTGCTCAAGTCCTCTTTTTTCTGTACAGCTCCATTTTTAAAATTTATTAAGGGTTAATGTTTTCTATGATTGACACTTGATACAGTCTATGAGTGTACAAAGATTGCATATGGAAATCCGGAAAATAGGTGTTTGAGCAGTTCATCATCACAGCAAGTCTCCCGCCGAACACTACTGCACATATGACGGTTACAGGAAATGGAGAAAATCCCAGAAATATGGAGAGCATTTCCACTTCAAAGTACAATCCCATATACACCCCCCCCCCCCAAAAAAAAAAAAAAAAAAGGTAAATAAAAAATTATATGTCGACACTTGACCTTAAATACACAATGGTGGATTTGCTGTGAGCACTAAACAACCTCTTGGCCTTTCCATGAACCATGTTGACCACAACAAGACTTTTAGCCACGAACCTTGTCTGGGTAAGAGCACAGCAAAGTGGTACAACTATAAAATGACTAAAGATGGTTAAACCTGCAAGAAAACAAAATTATATTATCCTGTAGCACACCCATCATTACTAAAACCTAACAGTCACAGGGTAACATCCAAATGAGCACAGGGTCAACCATGGAAAGACGATGCAACAGGTTGTTAGCTGAACACCAACTCCAGGTGTTCCAGGCTGTGCTCCGCTTTCAACATGTTTTCTTTTTTTTTCTTTAAGTTTTTAATGTTAAAAGACACAAGAGTCTGACAGCTATAATTTTTTTTCATAATCTATTTGTTTGTTGAAAGATACACTTCATTTTTATAAGTGAGTGTTTGACTTAAGCAACTGAATCTGCTTTCACACATTCACTCCAGATACTTTGACCACTCTTTTTTATTTAGTACTGGTAACTAACGTATCTAGAGTATCAACAAACAAGTGAAAAAGTAGGTCCTTGTTATGTGTTACTACTTTGGGTTCACACAGGTGCTCTATCAAGTATCTCTATATCAAGGATCTAAGTATCTCTATCTTTCCTGCTTCCTACTGAAATGTGCAACTATGCGTCTCAGCACTTTTCCCTGAATCTTAATTAAGGATTTTGTAATGGAGTATCAAAACATGCAGCAGACTCCGACAGTGCAAATACAGAGAGTCGTGGTGATTCTGCTTGGAGTCTGGCAAGATGAGATACACTTCTTCTAAAAATCTTTCATAAATGTTTATTATAAGATTACCAAAACATGCTATTCATACAGAGCTTTTACTTCTGACTGTGCGCAAACATAATAACAGCCCAAACTGTCAGCCTTGATTTGCTCTTCAAGTTGCATCTTTCTACAGAGCAGCAAAACTGCATAAATGCCACATGATAAAATATAATAACCCTGTCTTTCTCACAGTAATTTCTCTTGAAGATTTCCTGCTGCTGAGCTCACCTTAACTTCACCCTAAAATTCTTCCAGGGAGCTTGCAGGGAAAAAAAATTGTCCAAATGCATTCACACATCACTTCAGTAATTCTGGAGATTTTCAGGGTTTTCAGTAAGTGTGAAATCAACTTAAAATACCTTTACTCGGTCCTAACTTATTAAGGGTTGAATGGGGCATTTCAAATTCTCCTAAGGGCCCTGCTTTGGCCAGGGGTGTCCCTGTTTTCACCAACCCATCAAATTATTCACTGTTGGAAATATCCGCACTTCTGAGTTTGTGTTTCCTTTGCACTGAGTATCTTTTCATTCTTTTCCACCTGCTTTCCTTTCCCCAAACGACATTTTTATGAGCCTTTTTCTCTCTCTGATTGCCATTTCCCTTTTCTATCTCCATATTGTCATCATCAAATTTCTCTCATTTTACTTTTGCTGCATGCACCTCTTCTTGCTACTTGTTTTGGCTCTCTGTGGAGATTCGGAGTGATTCATTCTTACAAGCTATGTCCCAGAGACAAGTGGCTGTTCATCAAATACCCAGGCAAAACTGGGGAATTAATCTTAGCCCCTTCTCCTCCTCGCTGAGAGTGAGAGAGGACAGAGTGGAGGAAGGGAGGGAGGGGTTGAATAAGAGGGGTAAGGGAGCTACATCTTTCAGGTTTTAATTCTGTGAATTGGATTAATGCAAAACTGCGTGGGAGGCAGCTGACGTGCACGCGCTTGTGAGCATGTTTGTGCATGTTTCCTGTGTGTTTGTTGACGAAACATAGTTGCATCATGTCAGGCTAGCGGCTGTTTAATATCAACAAGGCTTCTGAGTTTCACCTCTCGCCTTTTGTCCCGCTCCTTCTCCCCCTCCTTCCTCTTCCTTTCTTCATATCTTATCGAGTATTTGGCTTGTTTTCAAACGGCTGCAGGCTCAATGAAATTAGACTGAGTGCAGTGTAATGAAGAGCATGCCAGAGAGAGCAATGATATTAAATGTCACACAAACACACCCGGCACGCACATACATTTACCACACATAGACATACTCACCCAGCACAGTAAATGAGAGCTGCACTCTTCAGCCGTCATATTAAGACCACTGACAGGTGACGGGAGTAGCATTGATTCTCCCTTTACAGTGGCGCCTCTAAGTAGGGGGGGGTATGTGAGGCAGTGAGTGAACATTTTGTCCTTGAAGTTTCAGGAAAAATGGTCAAGAGCGTAGGTGTGTGCAATTGTTAAAACGGCCAAATTGTGTTGGCTGGATGTCTGTGTCCGAGCCTCTGGACACTGCATCTCTTATGAGGTGTTCACCATCTTCATTATTGCAACCTATCACTCTTAACAAAAAGTGGTTTACATTAGCAGAAGTTTGGGTGGAGAACCTACTGCCTTTATCAGTTATAAGTTTTTGGACTCTGTTAAAACTATTGGTGATAAGTTATAATAACAAAAAAGCCTTGACAGAACAAGCTAACATTAATAGCCTTTACTCAAAGTTATAGTTCACGTAAATCAAAGTGGAGTTGGGACTTGGCTTAATGACTAACGATGTCCACGTTGACATAGTGACTTGCTGCTGATTGAGATCACTTTAAGTAGGATGCATTATCTCGATTTTACTCTGAAATACAGCAGACTTTTTAAAGCTCAACTGAGGTCTGATACCTACCAATGCAGCTCCTGTTATGACTTTTTTTTTTGCTCATGCCTCTGCTGTCAGGTGAGCCTTGTGTCAGGTTGGTTGTCAATGACGCAGCAAGATAAGAGAGTGCAAAGTAACGTCATGTCTCTTAATCCATGGGGTAGCCTCATATATACTTAAACCTGCAGCAACAACAGGCAGGCTTATACTATGCTAATGCTGTGTTCCAGTTACTTCGGAAGTTGGATGTCAGAGCTGGGAATGACATTACACTCGAGTTGACGGCGTTCCAGTTAACAAGTCGGAAAACCGAGATAGACGCCCACTGTTAGCAGTTGTTTACAATTGTCAGCTGTCGTTACCAGTTGTCAGTTGTTGTTAGCGGTTGTCAGTTGTTGTTGGCCGTTGCCAGCTGTTGTTAGTTGTTGTTAGCGATACCAGTTGTAAACAACACATACCACAGTTTTTTACTCCTACAAACACCATAGCACCGTGTTCACAGGTAGACAATGGGCAGTACGACAAATACCACTTCTTTAATTCAACAAAAACAAAACAGAAGTGCTAATAAATAATACATTACGAGAGCTTTCACTGTTACTCTTTACTGTTAATGCACTGCGCTGCCACCTTGGATTATGACATTTTCTTCAAGTCGGGGTTGGTGAGGATCGCTTCTGACTTTCCGAGTCGGAAATCCAACTTCAGGGGGGTGGGGGGGCTTTCCAGATGAATTTGAATGAATTTGCAACTAGGAGCTCGGAAATTCCGACTTTCGAGTACAACTGGAACACAGCACAAGTTACTAAACAAAGTAAGTCACACATTCTCAGCAGCTATGGCAAACACCACTGTGAGTCACAATGTTACTGTATTGACAAAAATGAGATATAATTTATTGATCTCCCAATAAGGAGTACAACCTGTGATAGGGGATAAATACATATTTTTAAAGTTAGAGGAAAATAATACTTAAAAAAAAAACACTATGTACACCACACTGTACTCATTTGTTACTCATAATTATTCCTCAGAGAGAGTTGCACTAGGTTGTTGAAATACACAGTATGTACAGCATGTACAGAATGTAATAAGTGAATGCTGCTGGTAAGCATTGCACAAAGAAAAGACACAGTGGTGGCCATGGGGCTAATGCACAGCAATGATAAAGTGGTGTATAAAAATATAAGACTATCCATGCATTTTCATATGAATATAAATACATGATATCTATATGTATAAATGAGCGTATGGATTCTAAATTGCGTGTATAATTATAATTATAGCAATTCACATGCATAAACATTAAACACTGACACAATAATAATTAAAGCTTCAAACAATTACAATTAGTTTATATATGGATAAGAAACTAAGACCTGAGAGGAAAGAGACAAAGTTCAAAGTTATGAAGCAACGGCCATGTGAGTAAAAAGATTAGGATTATTGAGAACTGCATGACATTACATTGTGGTGCTGGTGCTATGATGTCTGATTGCAGATGTCATGAATGATGTGGTTGTCTGTT